GTTGATTCACCAGAGCTTTACTTTTGAAGTGGAAGCGAAAATTGAATCATGATCATAATCTTTAAAATAAAAAATAAAAAAAGTGTGCACACATAAAGAAAATATCCTGGGTCCGCCACTGCATATACGGGACGACGTCATCATCTCAAAAGAAACCAAGTGACATTTTCTCAAGTGATAATAAAATTCCTGTAAAGTTTCTCGGAGTCCTCGATCGCATGCCCTAAAAAATAAGAGTAGAGTTATTGTCCCCGTAAAGGACAAGCTGTTGGCTTTTCACCGGTTAACATTTACCCTTGCTTTTCAATTAAGAAATAGTGGGTGAAAATTCTAACTAGGCATTTGGTACAGGAGAAATTTTTATTTGTCCGGAAATCTCGAATTTCAAAAATATAATTTTTACATTCAGTTGACGATAATATTCAAAATTTTAAAATTTAGAAAAATTCAGTTTCCCAAGAATCTTACAAAATTCCGCGTACCAAATTGCCCCTAAATGTTGGATCGATAAGGGTAGGATATTTGTCAAACCAATAATTCTCTTAATACCTGCTTTTTGTAATATGTTATTTTGGGGAATCAAATCCATGATCTCGACTCCGATATCAAATGTTAGATCAAGTGGTCAAAATCTATAGTGTTCCTCATTAGCAACTCTTTTTATTTATCCTTAATAGTCCAAATATCATGTTCGATTTGATTCTACCGATACCGTATCTTTCAAAGGGAGGAAGTTGCATCACTAATCTAAAATACTTGCCCTAATTCTGAGAGGACATTTATTGGATGCAAGCTGGTGCTGATCTCCGTAGCTTTGAGATGACTAACATTAAGATATACATTGTGTACTTCAAAGCTGATGTTTTGCCCCTAAGAGGAACAGAAAAGGTCATCATATAACTACAAAAACAACTTCTCATGCTTACATATAATCCACTAAGGATTAAGTTCTAAATAATTATAATTGTTTTCATGCCGATTAAAGTATACGAGTCACAGAATTTAACATATCTAAGCTAACCCCGTTACAAATATCAAATAGTGGCATTAATCACAAAAGAGAAAAATAAAAAATTCCACTAATTTTTCTTTATTTTATAAATAATAATAGCTATTATATTTATTGATATATATATATATATATATATATATATATCAATAAATATTATATTGTTTAGTTATGATGGTAGAAACGCCATACACTATCTTAAATGGGTTTGAAAAAAGCATAAGTTCTAAATCTAGCTACAAAGATAGGCATTTTCTAAAAGTTTAATTTGGCTTAAAAGTCTATTTAAATGTCAACTTTGTAATAATTAGCTTTTAAATACGCCAACAACTCTAAATAAGTTAATAGGTCTAAATTTTTAAATAAATCAATAATTATATAATTTTAAATAATTATAATAATAATATTTATGTTTACTCAAATAAATCGACTTATTAGGCCTAAATAAACTTTTTAAATTATCCAAAACTTAATTATTTCAACTAAATAATTTTTTTTATTCTTTTCTTAACTTATTTTATTAAATCTAAGTTCCAAAGGATGATAGTTCAGTTAGCGTCAGGAAACTGAGCAGGTGGGGGTGAAAGTTCGATCCTACCCAATACCGTATTTGGGAGGAGTTTAAAGCTTTAATCCCAGGACCTGTGTTGCATTTTTGGCAAGTATACCAATCGTTCCAAGTAATAAAGTGACGAGAGAGTATCGTTCCCATGAGGATTAATGCACCAATTATTACTATAACCAGTCCCCTTAATTTGGAAAATTCGGTTTGATTAAGACAGTAGATTTTGAATTAAATTTAAAGACAGTAATAAGCAAAAACATTCAAGAATAATCAAGAACGTGAGAGAAAATATGAATAATTAATATAAAGAGACTGTAGCCAGAATGCACTTCACCTCCGATCCTCCCTTACAATTCTTAATTAAATTTTATAATCAATTAATTCATTAGCTCAGAGAATTCATCTTTCCCATAAGAAATAGCTGAATCCTAATGTCTTAGCGTATTCAACCTTTTAACCCAATTAGAACCCTAGTTTCCTAGTGATCCCTCTTGAATCAAACATTAAGCGGATGAATTTAAAAGTCTGCAATCTATGTAAGTCTATGTCTAGATCATGCATAGATTGTTATTCTACCCTTGTCAGAATTAAAATCCCAATATTTCTATTGTGAGCTCTAACCCTCAAAACCCTATAATAAAGTGATCAATTCTAAAAAGGATATGGAAAATTTGTTTCAAGTAAAATAAGACTAATTGAATTAAACAAGTATAAAAACAATTTAGAAAATATAAAGGATTCACATTGGATCCGTGATCCCAACTACAATGAAAAATTAGTCAGACAAATCTGACATAAATAATTCAAAATCATAAAAGGAATTCATGAAAAAAAAGGAAAAGAAGAAGATGAAGAGAAAGAATCAATCGTCTTCAATCTTCAATTTCTTCAGAATCCCGATCTCCAACGTGAGTTTCCAAGAACTCTATGAATTTCTTTGGTTCTCACTGCTCCTTAGCCAAATATCATCTCTAAGGGTTTTCAGTCTCTTTTTTATAGACTTTTTCTCCTTGGTTCAAATCCTAATCATATCTCTTGGTTAGAACTCTTTCCTGATACACTTTGAGGCATTATTTAAAATTCTCACGTGCCTCCTGCGTTACTAGTGCCAGATTGGCACTGATAGCGTGAGACTTATGTTTGGAGATAGTGTCTTCACGCTACTAGCGCGAATCTCGTGCTGATAATGCGATTACTCTGTGAATCCACTCTTGTGTTTTTCTGTGCTACTCAATTTGGGGTCCTTTCTTGTACTTTTTCCTACAAAAATATAAGAAATCAATGATAAGATGCCTGAGTATGATTTATCAATTTGTTCGCACTTGAGAGTCTTTTTATTCACGGTTGATTAAGATTCTTGCTCTTTTTGACTTATTAGGCCTAAATAAACTTTTTAAATTATCCAAAACTTAATTATTTCAACTAAATAATTTAATTTAATTCTTTTTTTAACTTATTTTATTAAATCTAAGTTCCAAAGGATGATAGCTTAGTTGGCGTCAGAAAACTGAGCAGGTGGGGGTGAAAGTTTGATCCTACCCAATATTGTATTTGGGAGGAGTTTAAAGCTTTAATCCCAGGACCCACCCCAAATCAGATTAGTCGCGAAGCGATGAACCGATTGAAATATCTTCAAATAATAATAATAATAATAATAGATCTAAGTTAAATCAAACCTAACACCGGCCATCGCATAGAATATTCTCCATAAGTCTTCTACCTATTCCCACGCTTAATGTGGACTCCAATTAGTTTACATCGATTTTAAAATTTATTTGCTTTACACATAATCAATAGCAATTTGGCGAAGTGGGAACAGTGTAAGAAAACACTCTGCTTGCTTGTAAACTTTTCAGTGGTTTCGATTTGGGAAAGAAAACAAATTCTTGTCCTCTCCTCCGGGTCGAAATGACAGCTTCAGCATCACCCCTAGCTAGCTAAATAATGCATTAATAACTTTCCGAATGAATATACATGATAACACTTTCAGATTATTAAAAAGAAAAGTATTAAGATGATAATTAGGGACATATCTATGGATCGGGTTATCTTCTTTTCATTTTTGTTTATGAATAAGGTCCTGGGTTTTGGTTTCCAATATATTTTGTATATTGGGTTATAGACAAATACTTTGCATAGAGTCTTTAAAAAAAATATTAATTTAATTTTCAACTCCTTTGTGAGTTTAATTTGCACACTTACATAATGTCTTTAGTTATTGACCAAACAACATAAAAAAAAAAGAAATTAACAAAATTTAATAAAGTTAATTGTCATAAGAAAGTAGGGTTGGAAAAAATGAGTCAATCCGTCGAGTTGGCTCGTAACTCGTCAAAAATGAGTCTGGTTGGGTTTGCAAAAATGAGCTGCCAGCTCGAGAAAAAACGAGCCAACCGGCGAGTCAAACAGACCAACTCGCAGGTTGAGTTTTTATTTTTATTTTGTAGAAAAAAATACAAAATGTAATATACAAAAATGGACAAAACTCACACACGTTGTCATCGTCTTTCTTCCTTCTCTAAACCTAAGTCTCTAATCTTCTCACATCGCTGCCATTTTTATATTGTTAGATTGACATTGTTTAGTTCAAATATTACCCACTTGGTAGCAAGTGGTTCTGATTGTTTCTCGATATTGATGGAAATTTGTTGTGAAGAAAATTCAAAACTAGAACATTTTGCTTTTATTTCTCATTCTATAACCCTTTTCTATTTTATTTTTTTTACTTCTCATTCTGAAAACGAACCAACTCGCGAGTCAATTTTTGAACCAACCCGCGAACTAACCCTAACCTGACTCATTTTTTATGGGTTGCATACACGGGTTGGGCCGGGTCAAACCGAATTGATCCGTTTTGCCAACCCTACAAAAAAAAAATGGAGGGATGTAATCAAATGTTATTTTTAATAACAAAACAAGAGAATAATCAAACAAATAATGTGGCTAGCGTATGCTTTAAATATACCAAAATTTGTGAGAATAATTACGGGTTGAAACTTGAAAGTTACAAGAACAAAAAGAATGTAGTGACTGAGAAAAAGGACGAAAGGTTAAGTAAGTAATTGGAAACTGTGGCGGCACATGATTGTCAACGCTCCACAGAGTGTAGAGGCATTAGCAACAGTCTGACGAACAGAGAAGCGACAAGTATTTTGTTGCATTTGCCACCATCGTAGTGGAAAGGCCATATGCCACTCAGCACAATCTTGCATATTGCATACACGTGTCCCTTATGGACTCACCCAACACACACAAACAACGTTGGCATTATAATTAATCCAGATCGGAAAAAAAATAAAAAATAAAAAGACCAAACTAATATAAAAATGTTATGGCATACGCTAAACGAAAAGTGCTCAACACTAGATAGTCACATTAACACATTCCACTTACTTGAGTTCCCTTAATTAATTCCCTGAAGAATTAATGAATCGGTCAATTGAGGTACTTACTGTAGGGAAGATAATCGGAGATGTGGTCGACCCCTTCGCTCCTGCGGCCGAAATCACCATCCTCTATGGCTCCAAGCAGGTCGCCAATGGTTGTGACATCAAACCCTCTCTAGCTGCTGAAAGACCCCATGTTCGAATTCTCGGTGCCTCTAATAGTGGCAACCTTTACACCCTGGTATGTATATATGTATGCCATTATATTTATGTTGTCTATTATACATTCACCAAATGTTCTGTCAATTGTCAAATCACATCACGTAAAAGAAAGAGAGAATAATATGAGGTTATGTATAATAGACTGTGTTTAAATGAAAATTAAGAGAGTTTTTGCATATATGTTTGGTAGGTAATGGTGGATCCTGATGCTCCAAGTCCCAGTGAACCAACATACAGAGAGTGGCTCCATTGGTATTTTATACTTTGCTCGAACTTTTGTTGTTGATAATGCCCGCATAGTTTTTTTTTTTTGGTAATCATAGTCTTTTCTTTTAGTTTGTCCTTAGGGGTGTTAACAGGCCGAGTCGAGCCGAACTTTGATCTTAACGGGGCCAAGCCTGTATTTAAACGTGTCAGACTGGACTTAGCCTGTTACCTGTTACGAATATAATATTAGTCTGTGGCCTGGTTCGTTTACAAAAAAAATAAAAAACCTGTCTCAAACATGTGGCCTGTTTATTTATTAAAAATAAAAACATTACCTTCCAATTTGTAGCAGTACTTAGCTTATTAATCATGCACTGATATGTATTTTTTTGTAATAAAATAATAGTTGTTTCTTTTATAATAAAAAACATTAATATTAAAAAATCAAAATAACAACAGCACTTTTACTTTATTTTACGTTGTTTTTGCTTAATTTTCTTTCACATTCTAGATTTTTTACATTAAATTTTCTTCCACATTCCTCAATATTTTAGATTTTTTACACTAGATTTGAACCCCACCAATAAATTTTCTTCCACATTTTACATTAAATTTTCTTCCACGGTCGCCGCCATAAGCATCATTATAAGCCGTGGAATCCGCATGGCTTATAAAAATAGATGATGAACATGACTTCATTTACCTGTTGGTGGGACGATGACTTAGATCAGGGAGAAGAGATAAAGCAAAGATAGAAAACTGAGAAAAAGATGTTGAAATAATTAATATAAAAATATAAAAAATAAATAAATTTAATGTATATGGGCCAGCCTCCAAGGCTTCAAGGCCGGGCTTGGCTATGAAAGCCTGAGACCTTTTAAATAAAAAGATTTTTGCATAAGTATAAATATGAGCTTAATAATAAAAAAAGATGAACCGAGCCGAGCCGAAACGGGCCGGATAGGCCCTGCCTTATTATCACCCCTTGTCCTGCTAATGGCAAGGAAATCATTGATTCACTATATTCTATATTTACGAGAACTGTACCTTTTTATATTCAATTTCGATAAAGACATATAATAAACATAAATAAAATATATTTATCTTTTTAAAAAATATAAAATTATGTCATTTTAGTCAAAATAACTATATTTTACAGTAATTTATAGTGAGAGAAATAGAAATCACAGTGGAAGAAATGTGAATTTTTTAATTTAAATATTAAATACAAAATAGTAAATTTAATTAAAATAATTATCCTTTAAAAATAAAAATATTTTTTTAAAAATGTATTATCACTATGTTAAGGGTAATTTGAGTAATATGCAAGCTTAACGGATGAAAGGTTTATATAATATTAAAGATTCAAACATGCAGAAAAAAACTAGTAAAGATGAATATATTTATTATTTCGAAACAAGATTAATGTCATGTTCCAAAAGTAAGTATATATTTTTTAAATTAATAAAAATGTTTTGATCAATTATTACATAAAATTGGACGAATTCTTTTTTTTTTTTTAAGAGATGAAAGTCATTTTCATCAAATGTTACATAAAGTTCAATCAAAGAGTTAATCCAGTCCAATCAATATCCAATATGAAAGTTCAACTTTAGATTTACCCTTTTTTTATTGTTTTGAATTACGAGGATGTGATTCGGTTTAATAATGATAGGAATTGCCAAATGACAGGATAGTTGTAGACATTCCAGAGGGGTCCGATGCCAGTCAAGGTTAGACAGCTCTTTCCGATTCCAAAGCCAGAAGGGTGTATAAACTATAATGTGTAATAAAATAAATGAAATGCATATAATGATTTTGTTATTTATAAAAATGCATTTATAAATTGCACATGTGGTGGCACCTTAGGGAGGGAAGTGGTGATGTACATGGGGCCTTGCCCACTCGCTGGAATTCATCGTTACGTGTTTGTGGCATTTAAGCAAACAGATGGGCCACTAGTTGGAGTTGGGCCACCGCAAGGGCGTGCCAATTTCAAGTCTCGCGAATTTGCTTCACGACACCACCTTGGGCTTCCGGTTGCTGCTGTTTACTTCCATTCACAAAAGGAACCTAAGAACAAGAAACGCCAATGGCATAGCTAAATGCTACTTAGACAGATCCACTTCTGTTTTTTTTTTTTTTTTTTTTTTTTTGTAAATAAACTTCTTGTTTTAACATTTCGATTATCTTTGCTTATTTCTTCTTCTCTGCTTTCCATGTGTGTAATTAATGCTGGGATTTTGAAGCTGCACATCTTAATGTTAATAGGCCAATTTTAACTTTCCTGGTAAACCAAAGATTTTTGAGAGAAACATTTTTTTATTAATTTTTATTGTTATGCCTTGTAATCGTTGAATCAAGATATTGATATCATAATCATAATCATTGCTGCAAGTGACAATGAACTTGTTCTCTTAATTAGATTTTTTAAGATTGAGCCAGTTAATGGAAAAAATAATATTGGAGAAACGTCTCAATATGATAAGGGTAGGGGTATAAATGGGTCAGGCTGGTCCAACCTAGCCTACATAAAACCTAACTTGGCCTAGCCTTTCAAAAAAATAGGGCTTTGATTTTTAAGAAAGCCTTTTTAACAAATAGGCCGTAGGCTAATTTTGTCAAGTCTGGTCCAAAGACTTGTAGGCTAGCCTATTTAATTTATTAAAAATAAAATAATATCTATTTTATGTGGCATGACAAAGTACCAATACCAGTACCTATGTAATTTCTCTTGTAGACTTTATTTCAGCACCCAATAATTGTATTTTTCTTATTTTCCCTATTTCTTTGACTCTATTCCTCTATGATATACATTCTAGAGCTGGGGTATTATGTCGACTCTTTCTTGTTTGTTATTTTTTTCTTATGATAAGTACTAGTGCATGCATGAATGAAATTTTCTTTGTTCTATACAATTATTTTCTTTGCTTAGGATCTGCAGTGGTAGGTCTACAAGGCCTGTAGGCCATGTCAGGCTTTCTTATTTTTAAAAGTAGGCCGGGTTTGACCTACAAATAAAGCCTTTAATAGGCCAGTAGACCAGATAGATTGATTTTTTTTACGTAAGCTTGGACCAGGAAGGCCAAAGCTCAGCCCATTTACACCCTTAGATTAGGGTACTTGAACTAAATTAATTAGATTTTCACGTGTATTTTAATGAATGTGTAAAGACATACATAGCGACTAGTTTCATCTTCTCATTTGAAATTTTATGTTTATTTATTTTTTCATAAATATTCAAAAATATTGATAGAATCCATTTACTTAATATTTACAAGGAGAAAAATAAGCACAAAACTCAGATGTTATGCATAGGTTTTAAAAGTAACACGTTCTCCGATATCACGACGCAAATGGAGCTTTCGTCCAACGGCACCAAAATGTGGCTAGGAGTTGCTCTCATTAAATGTTCCACAGAAATTGCAAAATTAAATTGAATTACAGAAAAGTATCCTCGCTATAAAAAAGGATGGTCTAAAGTCAATCACGTTTGTTGCTTGGGGACTACGGAATTCGTAAAAATAAAATAAACGCGATTCAAAACAAAAACATTGCATGCCTCTATAAATTAAGTTTGTTATTTCCATATACTATTCACTTGAAATCCTTTTGAGTATGTTTGAGTCACTAATTTTAGATATTAATTTAACTTATGAATAAAGTTTTTTGTTCAAAGAATTTAAAATACTAATTGATTTCATTTTTAAAACTTTTCAATTCATATTGTGTGTAACCCTGAAGGGTAGCTTTCAAGGGTTTGCTTAGGTCATGGATTCTAAGCTCAATGCACCTGCTGTTTCAATGACGGGTAACCTTTGAACTGTATTCCGAGAATAAGGTGATCAGAGAAGATTGAATGAGAATATTATCTAAGTTATATATATAAAAAAAAATCACTCAAATTTGATTACATTTAAGTAGACTTGATTTGAGTTTAGGTTTAATTGTATGGATTAACAAATTATGTTTGAGTTCGTTTTTTCTGTAGTTAATGGAGATAAGTTATCTGCAGTAAGGCAATACGACGTCTTTTTGGGACGAAAATCATAGTGTTTTTGTAATTTTAATTTATTTCAGGGTTATAATAGTCTTTATATTTATAATTTTTTAAGATTTCAATCTCAAAACGACGTTGTTTTGGGAATAAATACAGATAACTTATCTGCATTAACTGCAGAAACATTTTTCTCATTATGTTTATTTATATTTATTGTAATCAAAAGTAATAAGACTAAGGGCTTTATACCTCTGCTGATAGCCTGTTACTACAGAGGATCAGGTCTTTTAGCAGAGAGAAGCAAGTGTTGGACCCACCATATTTTTTGAAAAATAAAAATAAAAATAATATGGCATAAATTTTGATGAGTCTATGACAGAAGAAGTGTTTTACCTAAGATTAATTTATAAATTCTCAGGTATAATGAGTATAGAATTTGATTTACAGATTAATTCAAATCTTTTTTTCTACTTCACCAAAAAAAAAAAAAAATCTTTTTTTCTAAACGAATTAATTTTCACGACAAATTCAATGAAATCAATTTAGATTCTTGTGATTCCGAATACAATCTTAGAGTGCACTTTAAATCCTATATCTTAGGAATAGATTTGGTTAATAAACAATATTTTATTTAGAATGTCATAGAAACAACGACCGGAAAAAATGTTTGTGCAGTTAATATAGATAAGTTATCTGTATTTATTCTCAAAACAACGTTGTTTTAATATTAAAATCTTAAAAAATCATAAATATAAAGACTATTATAACCCTGAAATAAATTAAAATTACAAAAATACTATGATTTTCGTCCCAAAATGACGTCGTATTGGCTTACTGCAGATAACTTATATGCAGTAACTGCAGAAAAAGTGAACCCCTGATTTAAATATTAGAATTCTTATATTTTAGTACACAAAAATATTTCCACATTTACTGCAGATAAGTTATCTGCATTTACTCCTAAAACGACGTCGTTTTGGAATTAAAATATAAAAAATTATAATTATAAAGACTATAATAACTCTGAAATAAATTAAAATTACAAAAACACCATGATTTTAACTCCAAAACAACGTCGTATTGGGCTTACTACAGATAACTGCAGAAAAACTAACCTCTCTACATCTATTCAAATATTATTATATTTATTTTTCATTTTTAAAGTTGATAATTTCCCTTATTAATGTAGGTATTTTTAATTTTTAAAAATAAAAACAAATATTAAAACACATAGAATAATTTAAAATAAATTAAAATCATTTATTAAAATACACAGATTAATTTAAAATAAATTAAAATCATATATTTTGAACGACTTTCAAACATAAGAATTCAATTTGAAATGGAATAAATCCATTTTAAATCATATAGTTTTAATTTTTAAAACTGGGTGCTTTTTTTGTTGTTGGAAAACAGGTGCTTTTTTTTTCTTTTTTTTTTAACAAATAAGTTTATAAACTTTTCTTACCTGCATAACAAGTCACAGCATTACTCAGTATATTAAATTCTTCGAATGCCTTGAATTTATTCATCATATTGATTTATTCATTTTTTTTTCTCTCAGTCAATCATATTTTATAAAATTATTATGTATTATTACGAGTTATGTGGTTGCCACAAGTTATTGATATATTTTATGTTTATTTAGTTTTAGTTGTATTTCGTATTAATACTACGACATTTAAGGAATTATATATTGAGAAAAAATTCATCTGATTTTATAATATAAACGACTTCAGAGAATCAGAGTCTCGTATTTTTTTAAGGGAAAATTTCATTTTCACCCAGTGTGATTTTGTGATTTATCATTTGACCCCGTGGTTTTAAATTTATCACTTAGACCCATTGTGTTTAAATAATCTATCATTTAACCTCCCGTGGTTTCATATTTTCACTTAGACTCCTTGTGGTTAAAAATATTTTCACTTAGACCCCTCGTGGTTTAAAAATAAAAATTTTAAAAAATAAATAAAAGGAAAATAATTTTTCTCTCCTTTTTATTTTATATCGTCACCTAATGCATTTAAGGTTTAAAAAATAAAAAAGAATCTAAAAAATTAACTTATTTTTATCAAGAAAATAAATTCAAATAAAATATTTTTATTTTATCTATTTAAAGAAATTAAATATCTTATTTTGATAGTACATATTTAATTTATCATAAATAAATTTTTTAATTTCATCTTAAATAAACTTTTTAATTTCAAATATATTTTTAAAATAAAAAAATTAAGATAATTTATAAATTAATTTCAGAATAAATAACTTCAAATATTTTTCAAACCCTAAATGCGTTACATGAGGATATAAAATAAAAAAAGAGAAAATTTATTTTAAATGTGTTTTCAAAATGTTTATTTTTTAAACCACAAGGGGTTTAAGTGAAATTTTTTGTAACCACAAGGAGTTTAAGTAAAAAGTTGAAACCATAAGGAGTTAAATGATAAATTATTTCAGCACAATGAATCTAAGTGATAAGTTTAAAACTACGGGGTCAAATGATAAATCACAAAATCACAATGAGTGAAAATGAAGTTTTTTTTTTTTTAATATACATCGTTACAAGAGTAATTGAACTATTATTGTTGTTTTTAAAAATTTTATACCACTTTTTCTTTATGAAATAAATATAGTTTTTCATATTACATAAAACGATAAAGGGTTCGTTTTTCTGTAGTTACGGTAAATAAGTTATCTGCAGTAAGTCCAATACGACATCATTTTGCGGTAAAAATAATGGTATTTTTGTAATTTTAATTTATTTCAGGGTTATTAATTATTATAGTCTTTATAATTATAATTTTTTATTTCAATTACAAAACGACATCGTTTTAAGAGTAAATACAGATAATTTATCTGCAGCAATATTTCTCTGAATGATAAAAGTGAATGTGACCTATTAAGAAGAAGACAGATAAAGAATCTTTTTATTTTTTTTATGTGGGTAAGATATAACTATCTCATTCAATATGAAAATTATATTCCCAAAATAAAGAAACGCTCGTGACTCGTGAGGAAGGAGATAGGAAAATCAAACAAAATATGTTTCAATATTTAATACTTTTTGTAGTAGATAAAAATCTAAAATATTATGTGAGGCCTACCGTACATAATAGATGATTTCCAAATATTTTACGAGACTCATGAGATTTTTTATCAAAAAATAAAAAAATTATCAAAAATAATGTCATGGAGTGCGTTAGCGTAACCATATATTAAAGATTTCCTAATTACAAAAAAAAAAAAAGATTTCCAAGATTCTTCCAAAAAGAAAAAAAAGGAGAAAAAAAAGATTTCCAATATATTTTTTTTTGAGCAAAATAACTTTTGAGATTGACAACATCCCACTTTATGGATTTTTATTTAATGAGAGAGAGATATTTTTATTATTTAAATATAAAATATTGCTTTCCTTTATGGGAGACATAAATGAATTTCTTGGACCGTAGGGTTTCTTTCTTCTATTAGTTATGGCCGCCCCCCCCATAAACACGCGTTGCTACAATCACATTCACAATCCTTCAAAACTGAGTCTCAGCTCCTTAATTGCATCTTCCAATTCTTCACCAAATTAGCATGTTGTTTTCCTTCACAGGTTCTCTCTCCATTCCTTTTTCTTTCGTTTCCCCCCTTTGTTTCTTTGTTTTTGTTTTTGTTTTTTGGTGTCAAATTTGGTTTGGTATTGCGTTTAAGGGTTTTTGTTTTTTTAGTGCTTTCATTTTCCTAGTAGATATTATGGCTATCGCATAGATGTTGGTGTGTTTTTTTTTTTTTATTTTTTTTTTATTTTTTTATTAAAGGAATATTTTTATGTGCGTCTCTTTCTGGGGTTGAATTTTAGACCAGGGATCTTTGATGCGGGAAAATACATTTGGAGTTATAGTATGAATCCTTAAATTTCCAATGCTTTTCGATTCTGCTGTGGTACCCAGAAGAAGAGTTTGGGTTTAATTGGTGATTCTCCAGCAATTTGGGAACCCTCAATCTTATGTACATCTACAATTTGAGCTGGGTGTGTACACTGTTCTAATTGAGTAGTACCTTCACTACCTTGGAGATCTAATCTACAAAAGGAAATGTAATAGAAAAAACAATTCTTACCTTCTAACTGAAATATCCAACCACGTAAAGTTCCCTATGTATCAAATGTCGGAGGGTAGTACAATTTATTATAATTGTTTTAAACAATTTTTTAAAAATTAAAAGCAGGCAGGCAGTAATTGAGTGGAGAAAAGAGGTATTACAGGTGAGGTGGGTATTAGTGGAGACTCCAAAATATGTAGAACAAATTGGGTGGATAGGGGTGGGGATATTATCCTCTCTATACTAACTGAGTTTTTGACCCCTTGATGCCTTTTGGAGAAACGGGCATGTAGTGTACTTGTCTAAAACTTAATGCTCCTCTACATGTATACCTTTTGTGGTTAGGAGTGAAGAGGAGCCACTGTGGGTAGCATTTTAAAAGTAATTGCTTATTTATTTACTATATATATGGATAAATTAACTGGATGTCTGGAAAAATAGTTGAATTATGCGATTTAAACATTGTTGTAGTTGACATAATTATTGGTTTGCAGGTTTTTGATGCTTAGAAAGATAGGGAGAGCTGTTCTGTCCTTTCATAGAATCAATAGAAGCAGATGCCTGGAAGTGAGTAGAAATGGGCCAATTGTCTCAGTTGGACCGAATATCCACCAGTGCAGGCTGTACAGGCAATATAAGTTTCCTAGTGAAGCACGTAGTTCATTGTTGTGGTATGGGTCTAGGGAATACTTGCACAAATGCCATGCTTTTAGGAACTTTTCTGTATCCTCAGCAATTAATAGAGTGACACATCATTCTCAAATTGCTTGGAAAAGGCTCTACAGAAAGTATTGTTCTAGCGGTGGTGGTACATTTCCTCCCACCATACATATGATGGCTCAGGCTGTGAGCTTGGCTTTGGCTCGTTCTTATGTGTTAGTTCCTGGTATTTTTGCATTTACTTGTGGAGATCTTGCATTAGCTCAGCGAAATTGGGCAGATGCAGAACGTTACCCGTCACAGAATGCTTTGTATATGCGTGCACAGGATGGGTATAATTACATGTTTACATTTACATTCATGATAGTGGAAGGCCTTGTCTTATTAGTGAGAGCTCTCTATCTAGCAATATTATTCTCTCCAAGCATTGTGATGGCACCTTTTGCGGATTATTTTGGACCAAAGTTCAGGAAATTGTGGCTCCATGTTGTTCATCGCACACTAGAACAATCGGGTCCAGCGTTCATAAAATGGGGTCAGTGGGCAGCTACAAGGCCTGATCTCTTTCCTCGAGATCTATGTACTAAGCTTGCAGAACTTCATACCAAAGCTCCTGAGCATAGTTTTAGCTACACAAAGAAAACTATAGAAAGAGCATTCGGTCGAAAAATTTCTGAAATTTTTGAGGATTTTGAAGAATTGCCTGTTGCATCTGGAAGCATTGCCCAAGTGCATCGTGCTTCATTAAAATATCGTTATCCTGGTCAGCAAGCAAAGCCGCTGGTGGTTGCAGTTAAGGTTAGACATCCTGGTGTAGGAGACTCAATCAGAAGGGACTTTGCTATTATTAATGTGGTGGCAAAAGCTTCGAAGTTCATTCCTGGTCTTAATTGGTTAAGATTAGATGAGAGTGTACAACAGTTTGCAGTTTTCATGATGTCTCAAGTTGACCTTGCTAGGGAAGCTGCCCATTTGAGCCGCTTTATTTATAATTTCCGTAGATGGAAGGATGTTTCTTTCCCTAAGCCAGTCTATCCACTCGTGCACCCTTCTGTTTTGGTGGAAACATATGAAAATGGAGAAAGTGTCTCGCATTTTGTTGACGGTCTTCAAGGACATGAACAGATTAAATCTGCTCTTGCTCACATTGGGACTCATGCACTTTTGAAGATGCTTCTGGTAAATATATCTCTCACTACCAAATCTTTGTGCCATTGCTGTGTTTGAGGATAGCATCATTTTCAATGCTTTTATTTTGAGCGTTCTTGATTTATTATTTACCATAATGAGCAAATCATTATAGCTTATAACCTCAGATTATATAATTAGAGTCAGAATATATAACTCAAGTACTCAACATAATAGTAAAGGAATTGTTAGCCATGTGTAGTAGTGCCAGCATAATCCTAGATAATTCAATTAGCTTGGAGAACTGGAACAATTGTTAGGAAATAAAGATACTGCATATATAACTTCATGATAGGGGTCAGGATCAGTTTTATTAAGATAACTTGTTTATCTAATAAGCAACTATGAATTGTAAGCTTGGCAAAATACAGTGTATTTGTTTGAGTTTTCTATTTCCCTTCTTCTTACTAAAAAAATACTGCAACCAATGATTGGCTTTACCTGGGGGAAACCATAGCAAGATCTTATACAATTTGAGAGGGATTTAGAGGGTTCTTTGTGGGCATCTGAAAATTTTGAATAGAGGAAGATCTAGAAAACACTAGGTGAACCAATTAACAAAAAGACCTTGGTATGAATGGTTTTTCTGTAATTTTTGTTTTTAATAGAGCCTTATAATGGCATCTATTTATCCATTTTGTGGACATCAACTAGTGGGATAAGGCCTGGTTGTTCTTGTAGTAGTATGAGAGGCTTCTATATGGTTTCACCACTTGATATTAGAATTTGAGCTTGGGGCTGAGTATTGGTACAAAAGACGTTTAGGCTATTATTATTATTATTATTTTTTTTTTGTAGTTCTCTGGCGGTTCATTGATTACCTGACTAATCCGGTTCAAGTCAAGCAGGACCATAAGGGGTACAAAGTTTTTCCTACTAAGTTTTATCATAGTTGCGTACCCAGGATTTGAATTTGAGACCACTGATTAAGCTTGAACAATCCTTTACCAGTTGATCAACATATTTGGTGGTTGTTTAGGTTATTTCCTGTTGGTCTAATGCTATCTCATTACTCATTAATTGCAAGTTTTTTATTGGAAGGGATTGTTTAGGTTATTGTGCTGGAGCATAATTGTAAATTATTGCTACATATTTTTGTTCTTGCACCATTAGTTTTGATCTGTCCTGTTATCTTTGTCTTACTAAAATTAATACATTTCAGTTTGTTATTTGAGGATTTGGATCCAGCTGGACTTTAGTAAAATGCAAGTTGTAATTGCTAACGGAGAAAACTAATTGAGTGGGTTCTCTCATATTCATATTCATGATTTGTTATGGTGCTTGTATTTTATTTTATAAAATTCCAAACCATTTTTTCATCAGTTATCAACTCTTTTTAGAAGCCATCTTTGCAAAGTGGTAAGCTGCTCATCTTAGCTCTTTAGAGTGTTTAGCTAATGACTATTTGGATTTGGAGGGGTTTCTTTGTTGGATATTCAAAAATGAGGCTAGCTTTTCTTAGTTAATTAGCGGGTCTTGGTTTGTTTGGATCTTCTTCGTCTCCTCCTTTTATGAATTTATTTATTTTTTCGGGTTTTCTTTGAGGAAGATATTTTCATCTATGGCTGTACTTATTTATCTCTGATCTATAAATTATAATGAATTTTCTTTTACCCAGAATAATATTTTTTGACTGCACATGTTTGATATGTTAATAATCATATCATATCCCATTCCTTTGTATGAACTAAAAGAAGCATCTATCCTATAATAGTTTTAAACTTGAACCATTGAATGTCAAAGTTTTAGCTTCCAAGACATTGCCGTGTCTTCTTTCAGGTGGACAACTTCATTCATGCAGATATGCATCCTGGAAATATCCTTGTGAGAGTGTCTCAGAGCAAGTCTCGCAAACGGCTTTTCAAATCAAAGCCTCATGTAATTTTCCTTGATGTAGGCATGACTGCTGAACTCTCTGGCAGTGATCGGGTAAATTTAGTGGAATTTTTCAAAGCTGTTGCCCGCCGAGATGGCCGTACTGCTGCAGAATGTGCGCTCAGTCTATCAAAACAACAGAATTGCCCAAATCCAAAGGCTTTTATTGAGGTAATGTTTTTCCCAGTTACATTTATTTGTTATTCAATGAACTTATGTTTAGTTCACGGAAGAAGACTATTGGAATATAAGACTGAAATGTATTTTTTTCATATATAGATTGACACCCTAAAGGGTTCTGTTTATACATATTACAAGGTAGTTAAGGAGATGAAGTAATAAATAAAATACACAGTAACCGAAGAGACATCACACTATTCAAAGATACTAGTAGCTAGAAACAAGTAAAAGACTCTAGAATATTCTACACTCCCCCTCAAGTTGGGAGATATATATTGATCATCCCCAACTTGCTAATTAAATCCTCAAAGATGGGTTTATGTAATCCTTTGGTGAGAATGTCGGCTGTTTGCTCCTTGGTAGGTATATATGACAAACATACACTACCCTCCTCTAATTTTTCTTTAATAAAATGACGATCGACCTCCACATGTTTGGTTCTATCATGATGTACAGGATTTTGAGCAATACTGACTGCAGCCTTATTATCACAATAGAGTCTGACAGGTAGAGAATAAGATATCTTTAACTCTTCAAGGAGTCTTCTTAACCAGATTCCTTCACAAATGCCATGGGCTAGCGCCCGAAATTCTGCTTCTGCACTGCTTCTGGCAACAACAGTTTGTTTCTTACTTCTCCAAATCACAAGATTTCCCCAGACATAGGTACAATATCCTGAAGTGGATCTTCGGTCCATTGCAGAACCAGCCCAATCAGCATCTGTATAGATTTCTATCATCCTCTTGTGTCCCCTTTTAAAGAGCATTCCTCGACCAGGGGTGTTTTTGAGGTACTTGAGGATTCTATAAACCGCACTAAGGTGTTTTTCCTTAGGAGAATGCATGAATTGGCTAACCATGCTAACTGCAAATGCAATATCAGGCCGAGTGTGAGATAAGTAGATCAGCTTCCCTACCAACCTTTGGTACTGCTCCCTGTCAACATCTTTTCCATCTTCAATTCCCAATTTAATATTGGGTTCAACATGAGTTTCTACTGGCTTGCACCCGAGCATACCTGTTTCTTGTAGCAGGTCTAGGATATATTTCTTCTGAGATAAGGAAATTCCGGCCTTGCTACGAGCAACTTCCATTCCAAGGAAATATTTGAGTGATCCAAGATCCTTCAGTTCAAACTGATTAGCTAAATCCCCCTTTAAAGATTTTATTTCCTCCCAGTCATCACCAGTGACAATTATGTCATCAACATAAACAATGAGGATAGCAATTTTGCCACTATCGGAGTGTTTAAAAAATAAAGTGTGATCAGTCTGAGCTTGGACAAATCCTCTTTCTTTAACAACACGAGTAAACTTTTCAAACCACTCTCTAGGGGATTGTTTAAGTCCATAAAGAGACTTCTTCAACTTGCATACTGAACCATCTCCCTCTTCAAAACCAGGTGGTGGATCCATGTAAACTTCCTCATGTAAGTCCCCATTTAAGAAGGCATTCTTTACGTCCATTTGATGCAAGGGCCAATCAAGGTTGGCAACAAGTGATAGTAGGACTCGGATAGAGTTAAGTTTGGCAACGGGAGCAAACGTCTCCTGATAGTCTATCCCATAAGTCTGAGTAAATCCTTTGGCAACCAATCTGGCCTTATATTTGTTGATGCTGTTATCTGCATTAAATTTTATTGTGAACACCCATTTGCAACCTACAGTTTTCTTTCCTCTGGGAAGTGCCACGGATTCCCAAGTTCCATTTTTCTTAAGTGCATCCATTTCTTAAAAAACTGCATCCCTCCATTTAGGGTCATTAAGTGCCTCTTGGATATTTTTTGGTATTTTTGTATTGTCTAATATAGTGTTGAAAGCACGAAAACCTGGAGATAACTTTTCATATGAAATGTAATGAGAAATAGGATGAGCAGTGCAAGATCTAGTACCTTTTCGAAGGGCAATGGGCATATCTAGGTCAGATGTACCGGTTCTCAAGTGGATTGCTGGAACTAGGACTCGGGTCAGAACTCTGGCAGTCTAGAGGATCTTGAGGAGATTTACGCCTGCTGTAGATTTTTCCCCATTTACCGGGAGGATCTCCAGTCTCTGGTACAGTTGTTGTCCTTTTCTCCTGTTCATTAACTCCCCCTGTCTCCATAGGTAAAGAAACAACACTTGTTTCCAAGGGTAAAGGTAAGACAGTAGAATTATTTGGAATCCAAGACTTGTCTTCATTTACACCAATAGACTCCCCCTGAAGAGAAGTCGAAGGAAAAAATTATTGTTTCATAAAAGGTAACATCCATAGAAACAAAGACCTTTCGAAGAGAAGGTGAGTAGCATTTGTACCCTTTTTGATTAGGAGGATATCCTATGAAGACACATCTAACAGACTTAGGATCAAGTTTTGACCTTTGATGTGGAGGAATGTGAACAAAAGCCGCACAACCAAACAACTTTGGAGGAAGGGAAGAGAAAGCCCGAAAGGAGGGGAAAAAACGGGTAAGGCAAGATAGGGGAGAATGAAAATTCAGGACACGAGAGGGCATCCGATTGATGAGATATGAGGCAGTCAATACAGCCTCCCCCCATAGGTATTTAGGGACATGCATCGTAAACAAGAGGGCTCTAGCAACTTCAATGAGATGTCTATTTTTTCTTTCGGCCACCCCATTTTGTTGAGGGGTGTTAGGACAAGAACTTTGATGGATAATACCTTGCTTGGTTAGGTAATCCCCAAGAACTGAATTAAAATATTCAGTACCGTTGTCAGTTCGCAGGATTTGGATAGAGGTCTGGAATTGAGTTCGTACCATAGCATGAAAGTTTTTAAAAGTGGCTGCAGCTTCAGACTTATCCTTTAGAAGATATACCCAGCATACTCTAGAATGATCATCAATGAAAGTAATAAACCAACGAGTTCCAGATATATTTTTTTCACGAGCTGGCCCCCAAATATCACTATGGATCAATGTAAATGGAGACGAAACATTATAATCTCTGAGGGAATAAGAAACACGAGAGTGTTTTGCAAACTGACAATCATCACAAAAAAAGGAACTTGGTTTTTTATTGATAAATAAGTTTGGAAACAACTTTTGAAGATAAAAGAAATTTGGGTGTCCTAAACGACGATGCCACAACAAAACATCATTACAATCGTCTGATAAACATAAAGAGTGATTTGCAAAAATTCTCTTTTCATGAGAATCTTCTTCAAAATAGTAAAGTCCTTCTTCCTCTCTAGCACTGCCAATCATCAGCCCCGAATCCTGTTCCTGAAAAACACAAGTTTTGGCAGAGAATTTAGCAACACAATGCAATTCAGAGGAAAGTTTACCAATAGAGATAAGGTTACAAGTAAGAGAAGGGACATGAAGGACAGAGTTCAGAGTAATATGATCAGAGAGCTTAATGGATCCCTTTCCCGCAATATTAGAGAAACTACCATCAGCAGTCCTTATTCGTGACGGGTGATAATAAGGGGTATAAGAACAAAACAAGGATGCATTACCTGTCATATGATCAGAGGCTCCTGAATCAAGAATCCAACGACTACTACGATCAACATGGAATGCCATACCTTGTTGAGCAACATGACTAGTTGCCTCAGCAGATTGAGACATCACCTTCTGGAATTGCTCATATTGAGCTTTCGGGATGAATACACCATCGGAGTTTGGAGAGGCACGAGACTCCTCACCCTTATCATCAGAAGAGATTTGATAAGCACGACCCTTGTTCAGCCCCTTTGTTTTCCAGTTTGGTGGTTTTCCATGAATTTCCCAACATTTTTCGCGAGTGTGACCACTCTTATTGCAATGAGAACACCATCGGTCAGAACGTTTTGCATCACTAGGGGGACGAGGAGTATGTTTTGCTACTAGGGCAGATACATCAGAGGATTTAGAGTTCTTGTCTCCCAACATTACCTTTCGGCGAAGTTCCTCCCGTCGTACCATAGAAAAAGCAGCTGCAATGGAAGGTAACGGGTTCTGCCCCAATATCCTTCCACGAACATCATCAAGATCACGATTAAGGCCAGCAAGAAAATCATAGAGACGTCTTTTCTCTAAATAACTCTTAAACCTTGCATTAGCTTCTAAACCTTGAAGATCTGCTGCATCATAAAGATCCAACTCCTGCCACAGAGTTTTTAAAGCAAGAAAGTATTCAGTAACAGACATCCCCTCTTGATGTAACTCTCTTACCTTGGTGTTGAGTTCAAAAGCTTGAGAAGCATTGCCTAGGTCAGAATAATATTCTTTAACGGCATCCCAAATTTCCTGAGCCGTATCAAGAAACAAATAAGTTTGACTGATATCAGGATCCATGGAGTTAGTCAACCAGGTCATGACCAAGGCATTTTCAGTCATCCATTTATCATAATCAGGATCATCAGCTTCGGGTTTTTCCTTTTTTCCATCAAGATACCCCATTTTCCCTTTTGCTTGGATAAACAGCTTGACAGATTGATGCCATTGCACATAATTCTTACCGTTTAAACGGTGGTTAGTAATCTGTATAGCTGGGTTGTCTCCAGAAGACGAAGAACAGGAAAGAGGAGAGACACCGGAAACATTACTGGATAATTTTTCAGAATGTTTATTCTCATCCTCATTATTTCCAACTTCCATCGTTCTAAAAAGAAAGAGAGCAACAGGTCACGCCTATTGTCTTTGATAACAAAGAGGAAACAACTGGACTTAGCAAGAAAAGTGATCCAATCGTGATTTAAACCCTCAGAACAGGAAGAGGGAAGCCAGGCGAGCTGTTCTGTGGAAGCCGCGTGACAAACGGAAGCCAGCAGGGTGGCGCGTGGCTCACACGCGCCGGAGAAGCAGATCTGTGGTGGCGGCGCGTGGAGGCGCGTGGCTGACGGTCCGGCGACGGGGCTGACGTGGGTCGACTCGGAAATGGCTTCTGAGTTCAGTGGTGGTCTTGGTTTCGTGATTGAAGGGGTCCAGATATGATTTCTGAATTGTAAAAAAAACGAAACCGTGAAAAAAATGGAAAAAAAAAAAGACTGTGGAGGTTTACAAGAAGACCACAGGATAACCTGCTCTTGATACCATATTGGAATATAAGACTGAAATGTATTTTTTTCATATATAGATTGACACCCCAAAGGGTTCTGTTTATACATATTACAAGGTAGTTAAGGAGATGAAGTAATAAATAAAATACACAGTAACCGAAGAGGCATCACACTATTCAAAGATACTAGTAGCTAGAAACAAGTAAAAGACTCTAGAATATTCTACAAAGACTTATTTTTGTTTCGTCATATCTATTGTCAAAATATATAAGCATACATGAACGTAGAATTTGTGGACTATTATTGAGACTTTTCCGGTTGATTGACCCTGAATATGGAATGACATTTGCAAGGAGCAATCAACATTGGTTTTTGTTTGAAAAATAAATTTATTGTTTTCTTATTTATGTTTTGTGTTTCTGAACTCCTTGAATATGATCTGGAACCATTTCTTACATTGTCTCCTCTTTGTTTTGTTTTCTAACAGGAAGTGACAGAGGCATTTACTTTTTGGGGCACCCCAGAGGGTGACCTGGTTCATCCTGCAGAGTGCATGGAGCAATTACTTGAGAAAGTTAGGCGTCATAGAGTTAATATTGATGGTAATGTTTGTACTGTCATGGTGACGACCTTGGTTCTTGAGGTAATTTTTTTTCTTTTTACCATGTTCACTAATGTTATACATACAAGAGTTTATTGCCTGATCGACATGCATGAGAAACACTATCTGTACGGGGAAAGCATAACTAGATTTAGAAAATCTCCTAACAGCATACTCCAAAGGGCGAACCTTCCTATATAGGGATGTTGGAGGGTTGAATTGGATAGTTTTGAAGAGAAAAGCCCAATCCAATCCAATCCCATCCCATCCATTTTTGTCTCTGCCCTTTTTTTTGTTGGGGCAATAAATAAACCCTGAAACATACCATATGTATATAAAAATTAATTCTAAGTATCAAATATTTCATCTCGTAAGTCATAGGATGCCGATACTAATAAAGCTCATTTCAAATTTAGATTACTAAAATGGAAATTACACAATGCTAAAATCTCATGCCTCAAGTCAGTACTGAAAATCTATAATCTAACGAGTTACGGTTATTTGTGTTCATTTAAATGTACTTTTCTCTCAAAATGTTCAATAAAAAATCTGTCTTTACTAAAATTTAGATAAGTGTATGTTGTATGGTAATTTCATAAATAAATAGAGTAAAGTAATATGTAAGTATGAGTGGTACGGTGAATACATAAATAAAATTATACGCATGTGTAAGTTATTTTCAGTTTGGATTTGTTTGGTTTTCAAAATCGGAACTGAGAACCAATCCAATAGAACAAAAATGTTTTTCATATTTTTTGTTTTTTTGGTTCAGTTTTTTGGTTTGGTTTATGAACATCTTTATTCCTACTACCCCTTCCCCCTGTAACATTTATATTTGTTGAATTTGCAGGGTTGGCAGCGAAAGCTTGATCCTGGATACAATGTGATGCAGACGCTGCAGACATTGCTACTTAGAGCTGATTGGGCTAAATCTCTTTCTTATACAATTGAGGGACTCATGGCCCCTTGACGGAAGTTTCTTTGTTTGTTGAGTTTCTTGAGAAACAATTTTGACAACATAACCCTAAACATTCATGTTCTAAGGGCTCTCCCACATTTACGATTCCTTTTTTTTTTTTAAAAAAAAAAAATTTATCTCCTGTATTTATCTCCGATAATTTCGGACATTTTTTTTAGCATCACAGTTTACAAAAAAAATGAAAGTTGAAAGAATAAAGCAGTGAAGATTTATCCTCTCCCTCCTTTACACTCTGTTGTACCTGCAGGACAATAATGAGATTGGGATTCTACATATACATAAGATTATCAAGTATCTTTCATATGATTGCTATGCTTGATTGAAACTTGGAATGAAAACAAACGCTATATTCAGACCGTATTGATTTAAAATGTTACAGTTTTACGTAATTTTATTGAAGCAGGAATGGCTCACTTAAAGCCTTTGTTAGTGCTTTGCAACATATGTAGGGAAATATAATTTAGCTTACTGTAAATTTCATCTCTAACGCCTTTTATGTTATTGGAGTTACGTTTATTCCTTTGTGGGCTAGACTATGGTTATTTCCCTCTGGATACGTATATGTAAATTAAGTGAGACCTGCGTTTAATGTTTTTGCTTATTTCTTTTTATGTGTTTGATCTTTCTCAATATCATTTTTAGGAGGAGTTTAAAATTTTAATTTCGGAAACTTTTTCGAATTGGATTAATTGCAAAACGATAAATTGATTGAAATATTTAAATTTTTTTTATAAATGTATAGTTAGTGTTTGAATAAGGAATTGTAAACGTTATATATATTTTTTCCATATTGAATGTTTTTAAAAATGAGAAAAATATTTTTTCAGTCACCGGAGATAAAGTTATCTCAAAATGACGTCATTTTGTGGTTATAGAGTTAAAAAATTATAATGATAAAGACTAATATAATCCTGCAATATATTATAATTACAAAAATACTTTAATTTTCATCCTAAAATGACGTCGTTTTGGACTCATCGGATATAACAATCTCCATTGACCGGAGAAATCTTTTACCCTTTAAAAATACACTTTAATTTTATTTTTTTTTTAAATTTCCATTCATATTTTTGCTGCTTTTTTATTACTCTGGACGAGGCACATATGAAGTGAAAACCAGAACGAAAGTATTTGCAGGCTCAATTTTTGTACTCAACAAATATTGTAAAATATCATAACCATTTTCATTTCAATTCTATGCTTATGATTGTACGATGTAAACGTTATTTTTTTTTCTATATATATTTTTTCTTTTTTTTTTCTTTTTTTGGTAATATATATTTTTTCTTGGGTCAACATTTAAACGTGATTCCAAATGCTTGTTCCTACTACTGCCGCTGCTATCGTAACATGAAATAATGCCATTTCAACTTGATGGATGATGGAAAATACTCCAGCACTGTCAGCAGTAAGGAATTGGAGAAATATATTCGGACCAGAAAATTTTTATTTCAGATTCAGGTAAGGGATAAATGTCACAACAAACAAAAAAGAATAGAAATTGAAAGTAATCAAATTAAGTACCTTGCTAGATCTTAATGAGTTTGAGAATTAATCTATACAAAAAAAAGATGACATGGTATCGAGGTCGAGATACGGTAGTTTCAGACGCATCTAAGGATATTATAGCTGGTGCAATCATGTTTTGCACGTAAGCTCACGTATTTCTTTTATTGCTGTACTCATGCTATAAAGGGCCATTTTCTTCACCTGTTTTCATAAAACCAAAAAAGAAACAAAAACTTGTTAATTCATGCGCACATCTAACAAAATAAAGCAGGAATTGGTAATTATTATGGTGAATATGTTTCTGATGTTACCAGAGACAAAAATTTGTCTCATGCAATATATAAAAAAATAAGTTGGATCCACTAAAAAGAAAAGAGAAAAATAAATAAATAGATTCAACCTATTTTTTGTGTGTGAAACATATTTCCCAATTATTATTTATTATTATGAAGTATACCTCAAGCTTGTCTACTTTTGCTTTATGGTCTTTTGGAAGCAGACGAACCTCATCAATCAATTGGATACACTCAGTAACATTCTCAGGGGACACAAATTCCAACACCACATTAACACAACACTGCAGATCACGAATCAAATACTTGTCATTCACACAACCTCAGATGAACTAAAGGACATAAAATCAATACTGAGATAATAATATCCTTTATCAGCAATTATGTGGAAGGTAAGACCATTTCTATTGCGTGATCATTCTTTTTTTCCCATTTAAATTTATGCATACAATGTAAATTAATAGCTACATACATTACATTCATTTAGTCTTGAGAAATTATTTGCTTAAAATGTAACTTCAAAATTGAAATTGTCAGGAAGTTTCAAAATGTAAAAATCACTTTCAACAAGAACGTATACCTAGTTCAATAACAGTTTGAAATTTATACTGTTTAAATTGACTAGAGATAGATGGGGGGAAGAAAATATTTTAAACTAATGCAATAAAGACCTTAGGATTCCTAATCTGGTATGGACATCCAGCAGGAATTATGACAGCTTCTCCAACATGTTGCTCAAAAGTCCACGGCTCAATTTCTGGCAACAGTAACAGGTGAGTCAATTTAGTTATGTAGGATTGTAATAGATGTTAAAACACATGGGTGTACTTACTAAACTCCTCTTTAAGTCTCATTTTGTGAGTTTGGTCAAGAAAGAAGCTCTGATCAAGAATTGGATGAACCATCTGCATAAGAGAGACAAAATCAATCATCACCAACTCAAACAAGATGATGCCTAGGAATTGTCTTCTTCTTAACTTACCTTCTCTTGATATTCACAGGCATGAGACAATTCATCAGAGTGTCTTTTAAGGTATTCTAAGAGCTTTGGTACATCTTGTCTTCGAAATACATCCCACTGGGCACCAGAATTCTCAGTAAACATATTCTGGTCTGGAGACATTTCAGTGCTTTGATCTATCCCGTGGAAAGGTAAAGAGTATTGAGCTTTTTCAGTATCAGAATTGGAACCACATTCTCCACCCTCAGAAATATTGGTATCTAAACTCTGACTAGCTGTTGTTTTGGCTTCAGTGGAGATGCAAGATGTTCTATCGACTCTCCTGAAAAAGTTCGTTCCTTCTCTTACCATACTCTGCATTCCCTTTTGTTCCCTGTCTTCTACATGCTCAGTAGTAATTTTAGAAGACTCCCTTTGACATAGAGCTTTATGCTTTTTTAATAACTTACTTATTTTAGTAAGCTGTTCTGTAGAGACAGGGAGATCTGTGGTATGTGCCATGATATTAACCTGGAATTACAAATCAGACATAGTAAATGTCATAGATAACTGGTTATCTGCACACAATTCTTTTACTAAGTGCAAACAAGCACTGCTATTTGACAGGAAGCTTTTACAATGATTCAACCACTGAATTGAACGTGTTAATTTGACAATTAAAGAGAGAAGGTATCAGCTGCAAGTTCAAGGCATGGGTCACCCCCACATACAGCCTTATAAATCAATTTTGGTGTCTCTTTTTGTGCCAAACCTTCATGTTGTCTAGTACTCTGGAAGCAGCACCTACTTGTATGCATCATATATTTATTTGGAAGCCAAGCAAAAGAATGCCTAAGAGGGAGAACTCTTTGTGACATATGTTAGGGTGTGCAATTTAAGAACATAGACTCTAAAATTGACGACAATTTGTACTTCAAACATCTTTACATGGACCAGTTTTAAATGCTAGACAAATTCTTTGTTAACAGTTTTTTTTTTTTTTTTTTTTTTGTTAACAGTTTGTTTTGTTTGACTAAGGAACCAATTCCTCATAAACAGATTATTTGTCGACTAAGGATTTGGCCAAGTTTTGGTTGTAATATCTACTTTTCCACATAGTTGAGTAGTCTATTCACTATAACTATGAATACCAAGGCTATTGAAACAAAAAACAATTGTAAAATTTGAAAAATTATTAGAATATAAGATGCAACATGACTTATATTGGGAAAAGTTTTCATGTTTTCACTCACAGACTTGCAACAAGCATATATACAAGGGACAGGGTATTTGTTGCATACAAGGGACAGACAGTCTTCATGAGTAGGAAGCATTCTGAAAGGATGCTTTTTACTTCAGAAGATGAGATACCCTCTAAGTTATCATGACAGGATACATGCATAAAAGATGAACATGGTAATTTTGTCACCAAAGGAAATATAAAATGAAGAGGCGTATTCCATAATATTAGAGATCAAATCAAACATAACAAGGGAAGTAGGGAACACACCACATCATATGAGTCATAACAGAGTTTAGTCACAGAATCAGCTTCTTTGTCTGCACAGCCATATGAAATATAGATATATGGTCCTATGTCATGTTTTGTACTCCCCTGTGGTAAATTTGCAGCTAAATTCAGAAGACCAGACACGGGATTCATGTATTCTTGAATTGGAAGAGCATCAATTACTTCGGCGAAATGAGCAGGAAAATGCTCTTTGAATAGTTGGGAAGACAGCCACCCCTTTAGTTTCAGCATATCGTGCCAAATATTTTTCTGAGGTTGACATTTGAGAGAGCCGGTAAAATACTGCCTGATGTTAATTTCCACCTGCCACAGAGCAAGATTTCCAAAATTAATAATATACTTTTAACAATGGTCTTTTGGTTCAAGAGTAGCTCCATCATTATTAAGAACATTGGTCACAGATCTGAACATATATGCATGCAAATTACCAATAGCAATGGACAGTTTAAATATGTAGTCAGTCAATATTACCAAATACATTAATTGGAATAAACAGTTTTCTAAGACAGTGCTGGATTTTTTGTCCCAACTAACACGACAGTATCAGTTTAAAAGTATTTAAATATACATTTAGGTGATGAACTGACCTCACACCAGTCCAAACAAGCTTCAAGTAAGTCGTTATTATTCTCATATCTTGTAATGCTCCTCTCAAGATAAGCACAGAACATGACCAGTGGATCCCAACTGAGGTTTGGTGTACTTTGAAGCACACCTCGCACTACTACAGGATGGCCTTTTCCCCAGTGTTTCTGAAAGTGTTCAAAATGATCACTACTGATGTCCAAAACTGTAGGATAAAATATACAATTATCATTAAAATCTTCTCTTCGAGCAGCTTCCTGCAATTGCTTATATCTGTTAGTTTTATGATCTTTGTCAATACACAGTAAACAGCTTGAACTTTTATCCAAAGTTTCAGGAAAGTCATAGCTGCAAACTATTTCTTCTGCCTTAACTTCTAGTTCTTTGATCCAACTTAAGGGAAAAACAGATCTCAAATCAAGGTGGCTGTCACCACAACCACCTAGCTCTGTAGGTGGGCATGATACACTGTCAGTACCATTACAACTTGTCCACTCAGGTAATATTGAAGTATCAGCTAAATTGCCACTAGAAATGGCCTTATCATCCAAAAGGCTGCTTTCACTAGAAATGCAAGCATTCATTTTGTCAGGTAGCATGGACAGAGAAGAGTTAATTTCTTCAGAGGTGCTTCCTTGATTTAATTCCTGACAACAACTTAAGCAAAGGCAGTAGGAACAACTAAGGCAGCTTCTATGAAGATCCAAAATGGGTGTTTTGCAGTAATTGCTGAGACAATGGTTACATACATACTAAATTCATTAGCAAGTAGCACTAGTAAATCATTTGAATTTTCTTAATAACATCAACAGAAGAAAGCTTACCAGTAATTTTTCTCATTGCAGCCAAATTCGACCTGCTTGATGAGAATATCAGAAATTCTTTTCCCTGTCACACACAAAGGCATATAATATAACCGTGTTCTAATTAACAAAAATAATTCAGAAATCATGATATCAGAAGAATGAAAGTAACTACCATTAATTTTCGCTTCTGTTTCTAGCTCTGTATGCTGGTCTTCACTTATTTGTTTTAATACAGGAAGGAGCATACAGACCAAATAATGAAAATGCAATATTCTATCAACTCTACTTTTACCAGTCAAATATTCCTGAAAAAAATTGCAAAAGAGTTAAGAGTCAGGAAGTGCTGCTAAAAAAAAACTTTCAAAGAAAAAAACATCCATCTTCGATGTCAGACCTTACTTTCACTGTCTTTGTATTGACTTGCCAAGCAATCTTTACAGGTGCAAGTTCCCCGACAAACTGGACATGCCATAGTAACTTCACTTTGAGTGTCAAAATACCTAAATTCGTTTCAACAAATAAATTGGAAAATGTCTCATATTTTGATCATCACCATAAAGGTGCAGTCGACAGAAGTAACATCGGTAAATATCTGAGTACTAATCATTATTGATCACTGATCAGTGCGGTATTACTATTTCCAGAATTTGATTTTTAAAACTGCATCATGAATAATCTCCAACTAGGTGTTTAACTAATCAAACCACACTTCTTAAAAATTCAAGCTTCAGCATTGTCCAAAATATACTATACAATGTCGTTAACAATGAATTCTGTAAACGAGGATAACAATGAAAGCACGAAATTCCCCATGAAAGAAATTTTGAAAATAGGTATATGCACATGTAATGTCACACGAGCTCAAATCAAATTCATGCTCAAAATGGGGAGTAAATGAATGTAACGAGTTCGAACCGTTCTTTAACGCAATCCATACAGAAAAACTCTTTCTGGCAGCTGGAACACTTTATAAGATTCCAAGAATCACTTCTCTGGCACCAATGACACCTCTTCCTCCTATTTCCCTTCTTCAAGTCTCGTCCATATGGTACAGCCTTCAAAAAAAAATAAAAATAAAAAAATAGCTGAATCACTAAAAATAAATAAATAAATAAATAAAATCCTCAAAAAACATAAGAACAAGTAGTAGAGGTAAAGTGTGAATAAAAACCCACCTGCAACTTGCCAAGAGGAACCCTTTCAACATTCTTGGACCTGAAGTAACGTTGAGTAACTGCTTTAACATCACAATGAGAACCCACATTGGGTGTTGAAGCTGCAGCAATTTCCATCACCCCATTCGGCAATTCTCTCCTCAACTCTCCCTCTCCCTCACTGTTATGCAATTCCTCCTCTTTCTCTTTCTCCTTCGTCTTCTTCTTCTTCTTCTTCTTCTTCTTTTTCTTCTTATTGTTCTTCTTATTCTTCTTCTCAATCTCTCTCTCGAGAACCATCCTTATCAGCTCCAACTGCATATCACCTTGCTTCTTCTTCGAGGCCTTTTTCCTCGCGGGAGAAAGAGCTACCGATTCCTCTGTCGATTCACGCTTCCTCTTCGACCTAATCTCAACGACGGTGTCGTTTTTGTTATGCCCTTTCTTCTTCTTTCTCTGAAGCTTCAGTGACTCGGGGACCTTCTCCCTGTGCTGTCGATGCAGACCTTGTAGATAGTGAATCTCGCACAGCTTCAGGTTTTCCTTCACTCTCCGCCGGCACCTCCATTGCCGCCCGTCGGTTCTGCTGCACCGGAGATGTTCCGGCAGAGTTTCCTCCTCCTCTTCCTCCGTCGTTGATGATCTTCCCATAAAAAAACGTTTTTTATTTTTTATTTTTTAATTCTGATTGAATTGTGATTTTCTCGGGAAAATTTTGCTGGGGAAAGTGGAAGCGAAGCGCGGAGAGGAATAGAAAAGGGTTTTTCTTTCAAGGCCCAAAAAGAGTGCATTTGTTGGGGGAAGTAACGGTGTGGATAGCATGGCATATTCCCGTAATTATTGACAACTAGAGAGTACTGTTTAGTCTCGTAACCCTCAACAAAGGAACGAGTGAGATTGTGATTTCATCAGGAATCTGATAGAGTGCAAATTCACTTTCACTTTTATTTTTTATTTTTAAAACATTGTTGTTTTTCTGTTTTGTTTCTGTGTAGCAAATTTCAGATTGTTTATTGTGGAATTATTTGGGCAGATTTGCTATTCTTGGAGGTTTTGGACTGAATTCAATGCAGTGTTGTAATTTAGCATTCAGCTTTTAATTAAGCAATTAAGATGCACATATAAGTTAAATCCCTGAATAGCCAAAGGCAATGTTGTCTGTTTTGGGAGCTATTTTTGATGTATATAATATAATAGTGTATGCTTTTGTTCATGTCTCACGTCATAGTCAATAATTTTTGATAAATTGGTTCTGTGCAATCTCACTGATGTTTGACTATAGCAGAATGTTAATATGGGAGTAATGCCTTATATATATATATATATTATACTTTGTGAAAATCACTTGTTTGAAACAGGTAAATTGAAAAGTTTTCAAGGACTAATTTGCCAAACGTTTTGATTTTCCTTTTAACTTTTACTTTTGGATGTCAGGAATTTTGAAATAGAAGAATTGATAAGCCTGCACAATTAATATAATAGTGCATGGTATATGAGAAATATTTCCCGGAGCTTAGCTTATTTTTTGTGGTTCAATTGTGTAATTAGAGCACTGTATGGGCTAATAAACCACGAATTGTTTGTTTGATGAAGCCCATTTTTCTTGTGTCTATGTTGTGCTGAAATATTGGGCTCTTAATTGAATGCAGGGAGAGTAACGTCAATCTGCTGGCATCCATTGGATGAAGAGGGTGTCTCTCATCATGAATGACACATATGAACACCAATCAATTAACTTTTGTTTTGTTTTGTTAAAACTTTGCAATCTGTTTTAAATATTTGAAATGAGTATGATTTCCTGATATTTGATCATAGTTTTCAAATCTGTAATTGCTTTATTTATTTTTTTCTTTTTATCAATGGGCACGTGTTAGCTGAGGTTTGAGAAATCCTTGGACAAAGTGTGCTGGTCTGAAAGTGCAGAATTGCTTATTTGAAAGTTCAATAATTTATATATAGAATGAATTTGACCTTCTAAAAGCTTTGGGTTATTTACTTGCTTTATCTTTAAATAAAAATCACTCCCCATCAAACCCCTGACTATCGAATATGAAGAGGAGGAAATTCTTGTATGCAGCCTTACTCATACATAATTGCAAAGGAGGTTATTTCCTGGATTCGAATTCATGACCTTTCAGTCAAAGAAAAACAGTTTTACCACTATTCCGGTTCGTCCAGTACCTTTATCTTTGAATATGGATATGAATATCTTTGAAGCACATCTGCGTATGAGTTGTTGCTACTGCAACAAATTTAAAAATGGTCGCTTATTTTGATTTATTTTTAGCTTTTAGTAAGCTTACTAGAAGGCTCTCCCTAGTAGCTGGATTCAGTTTTTTTTTTCCCTCTTTCATTCTTAATTTTTTTTTTTTTTAGTTTTGTTCCCCTCCAAGTAGTTGACTTCAAATGGCATAGTTGCACTTTTAATTTGATGCAGAGCAAGATAACCAACTCGCTAATACCCGTCTTTTATTATTATTCTCAAATTGATGTTACTAAGTGGAAAAAGTGAAAAATTGTAAAGTAATGAAGAAGAAGGAAAACATAATTCACATCAAGTTGAAATTAGGCATTCATACAAAATTCAAAAAAGAGGAAGAAGTAGAATAGACAAAAGAGAAAATCAACGATTACATATATTTTTTCTCGAAAGACTAAATTGAAGTTTACAGAGAGAACCTCTGTTTCATTCAATTCATGTTTCGATGCTGTTTGACATATATATTCAGTAAAATGGGGTGCATCTTTGTATACATGCTGGAAGAGAAAAGGATAGAGAAATTCCAAATTTATTTGCATTGCTTGTGTTCTGATCAAAACAAATCTTCAATCATGCAAGTAGGTAAAATAAACGTGTCGTTCTCATGATGCTGCATTCTTTGAATTTCTGCAATTACATTAGCTGAAAGGGTAGGAAAAATTGAAAACTTGGCACAATACAGAAGGAAATCATTTAACATAGTTAAGGAAATCATTTGACATAGTTTCCTGAATTTAAAATAGGATTAATGTTTCTCAAATTGTAGCAGATAATTTTATTTTTTATACACAAAAATTGTACGGGGGCCTATGTTTTTTTGTTTCTTTCACTACTCTTCTCTTCAATCACGCAAAGTAGGTAAAATAAACGTGTCAGTTCTCATGATGCTACATTCTTTGAATTTCTGCAATTACATTAGTTGAAAGGGTAGGTAAAACTGAAAACTTGGCCGAAATCATAACATTGTTTCCTGAATTTAAAATGGGATTAATGTTATAGAAGATAATTTTATCTCTTATACATATAAAAGTGTATGGGACTTATATTTTCTTTTTCTCTCTTTTTTCTTCACGTTAGCCCCACACACTTCTATATATGTACGAGATGATTTTATCTCCAATAACTACAAAATTAAAAGAAGAAAAAGAAGAAGAAGATATAACTGCAAGATTTCCTATACCTAAACATCGTACAAATTAGTCTCTGCAACTTGAAAAGGTAGAAAAAATAGAGAAGCATAACCTGTTAAATGCATAGATGCATTCCACTTAGCACCGTGAATATATATACCACATTGCCAAAAAAACATGATTGAGTGCAGCGTCGATAAAACCATTTGGCATCTAAAGGAGACAAACAAAAGCATTAGGATTTCATCAACGCTGCACTCAATGATGTTTCTCCAATATGGGAGTTTATAATACTTGATGAGATCCATAGCTCTGTTGCAAATTTATGGCTAATGCTTTTGTTATATAAATATGATAGCATTCGTGAAGCAAACCTAAGACAACGCAGTACACCAAACCTCCATTGATTTGTACTACCTTTTCGTTACTTGACCAAGTTGTTAGCCGTTACTACTCTTTCTATATACTATTCAGCTTCACAATTGTACTGGTCAATTGTACTGGAAGGGAATCTTGTACTACTATTTTTGCTTAGGTCTACAATTGTATTATTAATTATTTTCTCTCACAACTTTTCGTTGAAAACTGCATATAATAATGTGAAATTTTTTTCTCATTTCGTTGGAGAGAGCTCTCTCATGTTATACGTTCATTGTATTTTATGTCAGCTTTTTTCATTTTTTTTTTCTTTTGTTTTAAAGTGTGAACCCCACATATTTATCTCACATACAAGAGAGAACTATCTCATGCAACATGAGATAAGTAACTCCCAATAATAATTGAAGGTTTCAAGATGACACCTGATTTAATTAGCAGATTCATGCTATATATGAATAAGAAATTAAATATACTTCATAATTTGCAATTATTTGTGGCATATGCACTTGATAACTTCAGGCTGAAAATTACTGCAAAATATAAGAATTTTTATGAGAATATTATTGAGAATAAAATAACGCTTTAATTATAATACTCATAACTTTTAATTACTTTTAAATCAATTTCATTCTCATGTTAAACTTTAATACATAATAAATTAAAAACTCATCACATATGATAGCACAGGTTTTGCGTGTGGGCTGTGGGCTTGTATTGTAGCCTCCTTTATGCAAAATAGAAGCATCAAAATGATCAAGATATAGTGTAAATTCATGTAAAGTAATTAATGGTCAGCTTATTACTTCCAGCGTAAGTCACTTTCATTGAACTCATTAAGAAATGATTACACATAACAACTTGCTTTATTATTTTATGTCATCTCATAAACCCAACTTTTTCAGTTATTGACCTCCGTATAAGTTGTTGAGAAGCCTCTCCTATCCGCAAAAATAAATATTTATATTAATGATAAGCTGTTTAATTCCGTTTTTGTCACAATAATCAGACTTAACAAGATAAGCATCTCAAATGCAAGTGATTGCAACTTGAACTTCGAAGAGAATGTTTCTCCCAATTCAGCTGTTCATTCATATGTTCAACAAATTAATAATTCCATTTCTACATCCAATATCTGCACATGAATAGATTTATTACATATGTATATGTACATCATCTTACCCAAAAAATAATTCCTATATCCTATATACAAAGAATAAATAAATAATAAATAATATATACAATAAATTACCCTTTCCTTCGAAGAACAATTTTGCCTTGTGCATCTTCATGCACAATAGCCAAAACTTCATCAGGAGGAATGTCTCTCCAAATTCTAGGCTCATCCAAGTGATGCCCCATTTGAGCAAATTTATCAGCTGCCCTATTCCCTTCCCTGTATATATGACTCACCATGCAATTGTTAAACTCTGGTAGAATGGAATTTATATGACTAATATGTCTTTGTACTTCATTGCATTTAACTTGTCTCCTTTGCACTATAATTTCAACCAATGTTTTGGCATCTCCTTCAAGCCAAATATCATTCCAACCGTTTTCAAGGACTAATTCAAGGCCCCTCTTAAGTGCAGTTAGTTCGGCGATAGTGCTATTGGCTTGTCCTATGGATTCAGCATAGCCAAGCAAAAACTCTGCATTATGATTTCGGACAACCCCTCCAATGCTAGCTTTTCCACTTCTACCTTTGCAAGACCCATCAAAATTTAATTTGGTCCATCCAATTCCTGGTTTTTTCCATGCCACTTGAATTGGTTCCTTATGAAAATACCTAATCAACTGAGAAACTGGACTTTGCACTATTTTTTGGTACCTAAAAATATTTATAATGTCTAACATTTTATCTCTAATATATGTACTTTTTCTAGTAATCACTTAGAAGTTGAAAAAGTGACTGGGATTTTTGGAATGTATATTAGCCTACAAATATGAAGAAG